AGATTTTGCGCCAATCGGAAGCGCCAGTGTGATCTAACTTCGCAGACTTTCGGTTAAGCAGACCTGTTGCAGCAGTTAACTACGAGCCGTGGATTTGGTAAAAGATGTTCCCCAAGAAACTGTTCATTGCACGAACGGAGTTGGCCGGCATCAGTGTTTGGTTCCTTTCCATCGATCCACATCAGCAGCTGCTCAGTGGCGCGTAATATAGGCAGAATAACATTACTTGGAAGGAGAAGGGAGACCGGAGTGGCCATTTCTGACATATTGGCCGTCTCCAGTCAGCGAAACCCAACCCAGATTTGTGCGAGACTTGGAGCTCTATCCTGTGACCTGTTGGTTAGAAGTTCAATGCCCCTAATCACTGGTCTACGGGCTTGTTGTCCTGTCGGTTCTGATCGGGAATATACAATGGTAGGGGGACGCTCACCATTGCATATACCCGAACGCGGCAGGCAAGATAACGAATCCGTGGCCCGGTGGTTGGGGCGTTGGACTTCTGGCCGAAAAGTCGCTTGATCGCGCACCCAATGTTGCACACCTCAAGCCTGGGTGTGGCCGACTGACGACAGCTAATATGCCAGAAATGACCATTCCAGTCGCCCTTGTCTGCGATACCATTCTATTTCTCGAATGTTGAGTGAGGGTAGATAAGTAGGTGTCGAAGGCGAAGAAGCAATCGGAGTTTATTGGAGCACGCCACTCCTTCTGGAGTCAAACATGTGGACGTTTGAGCCGGATATTTTATTCAGGGCGACAGAATAATGTATAATTAACGACAGTAGGTCCTGGTGGACATATCGTCCTCTTCGTCTCTTAAATGTATTAAAGATCGCAGATCTAGACGGTAAATTGCATACGCCTGCAGATAGTGACGCTGCCGGAGCGGTGGTTGGTTACGCCAAAAATTTTCGATAAATGAGTCCTGACAGACGTTTGATTTGACTCGGACCAGAGCTATGTGCATTCATGGCGAATACATTACTAACCGGGACGGGTAAAAACTGAGCATAAAAACCTCATTCAGAAGAAGGATGCATTTAGGAAGTTATCCACACTCGGATTAACTGAAAAGAATGGAGATCCAGACTATGGCTCATGATCACTTCAAAAAATGCATTCAAAGTATGCCTCATAAAATTGCTTAGCCTACGATATTCACAGTTATGCTGATCAAAAGCATTTCTGAACGCAATATCACTTTTGGAAACCGAGCGTGTGGCTGAGTGCTATCCGCACGCATCGTGCAGAATGGTTCCTCGATATGTCCGTAGTTCTCTCACATACGCCCAAGGAGATACCGGGGGGACTAGACTTTAGAACAGTCGTGCTTGTATGTGATATTGGAATATATCCCGAAAGAGGGCATACTGCTGCTACTATAAAACTAAAAATAGAGACTCGACCCGACGTGGATCCTAGAACTGCAAGACTGCATTTACAAGACACTTCTCCGAGTGATCGAGGCCCAAAATAATGCCAATTTGGCTTTATCTCTCATTGTAGAGGACGATTGCCTAGACAGAATAGCATCTGTAGGACCAAACCCCAAAGCAGTCATAATGAAATTGTTGCATTCCATGTCTCATTCAATGAAGGTCAGGAGAAAGTAAGCATAAGTTGCCATCGCAGACCAACTCAAAATGCATCTGTTCCTGCACTTGCTCCTGTGGAGCAGGTTATATTCGTCGCACGAGTCGGCGCTTATCCAAGAGAATACGGGAACACCTTCCGGCATGGCTAGAAAAAGGCGGAACAAGGAGTATAGGCAGCAGCATTCTCGCGCATGTTGTCGATTCCGGACATCGTGTTGACCCTAACGAAGTTTTTCGTGTGATTTATAAGGTCCCATCGAGCTAGCCCAAGCTACTAGGCCAGCGCCTGTTAACGGCCGCCAATCTTATGCGCACAGAAGAACTACGTTCGGGCTCCGCGCCTACAGTGGTCGAAGGTCGACTATGCTGCCACTCTCCGCGCCCTACACTGACTGCTATAGCCCCCCCTCGCCACATTCCCACACCCCGCCTGTGTCTTTGCATATGATAATGAAATATAACCAAAAGAAAGCACGATGTTGTTACGAGAAAATTGAAAATCGCGACTTGAAAATATGGTGCTTTGCGAGTTAAGCCACTTTCGGAATTTGAGACGTTGGCGTGTTTAGTATGGTAGGAATGGGAATCAGATGTTGGCTTCTACCACACTGTAACTACAAAGTGGAATTTGGGTAGGCAAGACGGTCTGGTGGCTTCGTTAATCTAGGACATAAACAAGCCTGGCAATCAACAGGGCTGGGATTGACTGCTGCAAGTCCAGGGCACGGAACTGCTATGCTGCTGATCGTACAATCCTCCAGTGGCGTCAGGGCAGCGGTAAAGGGGGCGGACGCGGAGGGTTAGGAAATTAAACCTAGCCTTTTACCGGCAGAGCATCTGAGGAGGCGAATTCTGGCCACATGGGGATTTATCGCAAGTATCTCAAACCTAGATATGTATATCAGAACTAAAGGATCCCGTTTCGATTACTTCTACAAGGGACTATGACATAGAACACTGTTAAAATGGTTTTGTCTTTTAGGGGAGAGAGGGACTCCCTGGACAGAATAATTTCCGTAGGCCCAAACCCCAGGTTGGTCATACCGAACCTGTTGCGTTCCAGCTTTCATTCAATGGAAATCAGTCAACTTGTAGGAGACTTACTATGGTCGCCGTCAATGAGGATTCGAGTGTCTCATAATTCAGAAATGAATGTTCTCTCCTTGATCTTTGATCGTTGGTAGACCTGCCAACCACCACAGAAAAGTCGATGCTCCAAAAGTACCAAGTCTGAGATATTCATTCTGGCCACCTCGACCATGGGCGTGTGCTCATTCGACAAAAGGCCTTTCGGTTGCAAATGCGCAAAAGTCCTTGGTTAGAACAACTGGCTCTGCTCTCTGCATTATCTAGATTTCCTTGTGCAATCAGACTTTTTCAATCGCCTTGACGAAAATGTGGATAAGCCGAAGTGTCTGGATACTTGTGCAAAAACTATGGGATTTTCCGTTAACGATTTCCCAAGATTACAGGCTAAGAGATGCTTATTATACGTAGTCAGACAGGAAGCAATGTTCATGCCTTCGGACTTCATTCGGTGTTTAGGAATTCTAGACGGAGGGTTGCAAGCAAACTCCACCTAAATCAAGACATTCTGATTTGTCAAGGGATCCTAATGATTCCATTATAATTAGCATAAAGACTTAAAACGATTTCTCCCTTGTGACCAACCACCCGAAGCTCGAATTTCTCACTTTTACGATCGACTACTACTGACTGCAGCACACTTTCGGAGGGCCTGATCTGTCTTATGAGTAGAACTCCGAGTCCCTCCATCAGCCACAACTCAACTTCATCGGCTGAAGAATGGCCGTCCGGCTATAGCAAAGAGAACGCCTCAACCAAGCGTGACATTCCGCGGACAGCCCTAAGAGCCAGGCCTCCACTTACCGATGACGGCAGCACGGCCCACAGTCCATTACTCATTTTCTTCCCGATTACCTCATAACTCAGGAAACAACCACTCAGACTGACCCCCGATGCGTTTTGTGCTACGAAGCTTTCCTCCACTAGGACGGCCGTCAAACCAGCGAAGACAGCCAGGCAGACCGAGAGTACCCCGGAGGAGACTCGACACCATTTCACTTACGAGACAAGTCGGTCAGTGACACGGAACAAAGTACCGGGATCTTTGGTCAGGTCAGGCAGTCGCGGGAGGGTCTTCGAAAGGCAGCCATTCGTAATCTGGAAGGGCACGCCTTGGGTTTGGATGCCGGACCGCGACTGAATAGCCTGGTCCGGTTACGACCCGCCTTAATACTTGTAATTGGTATGGATGCGATCATGCCTGATCCAGCCGGCATTCATGATGTCCCGGACTGTAGTTCACCACGAGTAGCGATCCACGGCAGCAGGCCTGGACAGTCTAACCCATTCTCTTCGCCAACGACAGACATCGAATTCCGAAGGTCTAAGAACCATTTCCACGGCTTAACGAACTGTGTCGGGCCAGGATTTGAGTTGACCCCCCCCCCTCTTCAACCCCTCCAATGGGGAAAGTGTGCCGGATCGAGGGCAGTAACACCGAGTTCCTGAGGTGGACGACGAAGAACATGCCCAAGCCACCCCAGTGAATGCAATCCATTTTTACTGAAGAGCGAATCCCTCTCTCTCTCACTCTTCGGGTGGCCTGAGTAACCCTTGCGATGTTGTCGCAGCTAGCGCGGACTGTTTCATTTGAGACGAAGCCGGTGTACATCGCCTGATGGGTGGTCCCCCCGCAGTGGTGGTCAAATACCTACAGTTTCCGCTCGCCCTCCACGCACACAGCTCAGCATTCACAACCATAAAGAGGGGCGGATGCACAGTACGCGCGAATCTTAGAGGCGATAGAGATGTCGCGTCGAATCCACAGGCACCTTCTACGGCTTGAGAGAACCATTCGGGCAGCATCCATTTGGGGGACAATACCGTCCTTTCTGTCCATTCGGCAGCAGCCTCGCCCCGGAGTACTAATAACTGTCCACTTCTTCAAGCCGACGGTCATAAGCCAAAGAGGTGCCTTCACTTGGTCAGGGATGCAGCTTGAAAACACTATCTTCCCAGCGTTTATGGATAAACCGACTAAGTGAGCGACTTCGTCCACCCGTGTCAACGTAGACTGCAGATCACCAAAATTTGAAGCAAGTAAGGCGATATCATCGGCATAGTCAGTCGGTGTCCGGTTGCAAACTCAACACCGTCACCTTCGTGTAGGGCCCTCCCGAGGATCCAGTCAATAGCATAATTGAACAGAGTAGGCGACAGGATACAACCCTGTCGAACGCGAGAGCGAACACCAAAGAGTTGGGAAAGATTGTTGCAGACCAGGACTCTCGCAGTAGTGGAGCGATAATAAGCCCTGATCATGGCGATAGTTCTTGGCGGTAGACCATTTAGTGCCATTACCCACCACATGGACCCACGATGGACGGAACCGAAGGCGGCGACCGTCGGTTGCTGGCGGCAACGGCGGAACTCGAGAAGGCGCCTCAGTCTGAATACCTGATCCGCACACCCACATCCAGCACGGAATACGGTTTGGCCAGGCCTCGTTCTAGATTCACGCACAGCCTTGAATCACCTGAGCAGGACAATAACGAGGACCTTCGCAGCAACGTCGCTTATGCCGCGTTAGTACTTACACCTTGTTTTATTGACCTTGCTGATAGGTACAAGGATGCCTAAGCCCCAGTCATCAGGGGCTACCTCGTCCCTCCACGCTTGTCCAATCACCTCCTGGAGCATGTTGACACAAAACTTGTTGATTGCTGCAAGAAACCATCCCCTTCGGGTGCCTTGTTGTTGCGTAACCACCGCACAGCATCGGCAACTTCTTCAGAAGGGGGGTCGCACAACACTGCATTGGTTGGAGGGAAGAAGCCCCGCTGCAGAGGGAGGCAAGGGCGAGGTGGGTTGGATATCAAAGCTGAGATGGTGTTCGAAGTGCTCACGCCAGCGCCCGACCTTGGCCGGGTTGTCAGCAATAAAACGGCCATTCACGTCAGGAGCAGTCACCCTGCGCTGAGGGCCTACCACTGACTTGGGAGTTGACCCGGTAGTTTTCGAATGTCTCCAACGTTCGAGGCCTGCTCCATGAAGGTCGCCACTTCATCCCAGTATTGCTCCCTATTATATCAGACCGACCTTGCCGTATTTCGGGGTCAGCGAAAGGGAACATGTCCAGCTACAGACTCGTCTCTGAAATCATACTTCAGTTGGCCCGTCGCGAGCGACAATGCTTACCGCACGTCACACGTCCGGGGGAGCGCGGGATGGCGGCTTGCGCCACGCACTCCTCGCTCACCCCCTACCCATCCCCGAGGTCGGGTAGAGCTAAGCAACACGGCCCGTCTGTGAATTCCACGGACACGGTACGCGCGCGACGGACCCTGCTCGCGTTGGAAACAGGGGGTGGATCAGACCCAATCTGAGTGGGCACCGCGGAGACCTCATTAACGGGCCGCTACAACCTGAGTACCTTAAGAGGACCGACTCACCCCGTCGAACGGCAGGTTTCCGCGCCATGGCTTGGAGCAACGCATTTGTCCAGTTGCAGCGGGGAAATATGGTTAGATGTCATTATGGCGGAGTACCCGGAGACGACCTCAATCCCACGTCTTCCACGCCGCAGTCGGCTGTCAGAGTTGGCATATCATCCGACGCCGTGATCTGGCGCAAGTGGCAATCGCGCAGAGTCCGCGTCCAAGCATACCACTACACGGCGGGTGTAGCATTTGTTATGGGACCCGCAGTCGGGTCAGCGCGTACCATGCCTAATCCGGCCTCCATTTTGGTCTTCGGAATCTCACGTTGTAGGGTGGTAGAGACATCGTATACGCATGACGTGAAAGACGAGGAACCCAGGGCAGCTCGTTATTCCTGGACATGCCCACAGCTGTTCCGCTGCCGAATGCTTGGTGGTCTTAAGTAGGGCATGGACGTGGGTACCACCAACCCTTCAACACTAGGGGCAGGACTACATGACCAATGCCGCAAATCAAAACCGAATAACATCCCGCGGCCTTTGACCATAGTAGTACGCCACACCACGCACACCCTTGAGGGGTAGCGTCACGCTAAATTTGTGGGCAGCTCTCAAGCTCGCGGGAGTACCGAAGAAGTTGTCTCCCAGTCCCGGTTGCAATGGAAGTACGAGAAATAAAGAGCGCAATTGTTTCTCAGACCAAATTTATTATACGCCTAATTCTCGTCTTCATCTTCGGTTTCCTCAGTCTCGAAGTTAAAGAATCGCAGTTCGTAAGACGTCTTATTCGACGCGATGACATGAAGATAATCCCGGAGGTTATGGCGCTTGAGGAACCGTTTCGTTAGATATTTAAGGTATCTGGAGCCACAAATTAGAAATGCTTAGGGATGGTACCTTTTCGAGAACGGAATACTGGCCGTTACGACGATGGTCGACTTGTCACGATCAACATGTACGTCTTTGCCGAGATTCTCTACTTTGCCTTGGACCTTGATGTGGGTCTTCAAGTACTTTTCCTACAAGGAGATTGAGGGTTTTGACTAGGGAAGGTGGCCCTAATCCAGCAATTAGATGCTGTCCTCCACCCCGTGTAACTTACGAATGCAGCAAAATCGATAATATCTTTATCGATAACATCTGCAGAACACTGAATAGTAAACCTCAGCGGCTGCTTCTTTTTCGGCTGGACCTTAAGGTTCGGTTTTGCTGCAGGCTAAAGAAAGTTAGAATAACATATACAACTCACCGCGGCAACCATGATGCACGAGACCTCTTGTAGAGAGCGCCTAACTGTGAGAATGCGTTCAAACAATTAAATAGCTTGCGCACCTTAAACAAGAAGTAGCCAATCCAGTCGACTGGACAATCGCCGCATTTCTAGAACAAATAAATAGCAGGACCATGCCCAAAATATGCCATATTTCCTTCTCAGCACAGAATAGGGAAAGTTACTAATTCGAAATATAAAGAACGGCAAAATAAAAGCAATAGGCGCAGCGAGTGAGAAAAAAAGCGCTACGATAAATTTCAATGCCAACGAAAGTAAGTGACGCGTTGAAAGGAAGAAGAAGACCAGCGATATATACAGGCCCTATGCGTGGGAAAGCACTTATGGAGGTCTCTGAATCATACAAGGAAACTGAAATTGAGATGGGATGCGGCGAGTTGCGTGCATACGCATCAGTCAAGTCATTTAAGGATAATCAGCGAATGGTATGATGAAGATAACAATGAAGTTGTCGCCATTGTGTAGACTGAATCACATGCGGCGCAGACATCCACTCGATTGTCCGTGTTAAGCGAACAAACGCGACTGCACTACCGATTACGAGAGGGGACTGCAATATGCCGTCTAAAGCCAAGCATGATTTTAATTAATCGGGCTCTTTGATTTTCGGGATATTCCCTATGACTATATTATTCTTCTGATTTAGGAAGGCTTGCTTCGGTAGAGTCAACGTATAGCTCCGTGCTTACGACTGTCTCTTGGTCATTCGCCATCTTTGGCAGCACGATTTCGTTTGCAGCGTACCCAACTTTTATCCTCTCATCTGGCCGTCTGGGTATTTTCGGGATGCACTGAGACTTATTTTGTTCTTCTGGATCCCGTCTAGTCACTCCTTTCTCGCGCCAGACACAAAGCCTCGTTCACACCGAGCTCTAATAGACCCACTGTTTCCGTTTCTTCTCGGTTGATACGAATGAGGAAGCCCTGTTTGCGTAGGTTCTTTTCTTTTTATGTATTCTGATTGTCATTGGCCCCTTACCTTTGAGTAAATAGCGAGGGAAATGTCCCAGACACTCCATCTATATTTCTAAAAAAATTTGAACAGGTCCGAAGCACGCCGTACAGGCTTAGTTTTCGCATTAGACATCCATCCAGTTCATTAAACTCCATGCCCATTTGGCGGAAGGTGACATGATAGCGAAAGAGCTGTAGCCATTTTTACTAGACTAATATTTACTCCGCAATTTATCTCAAACGGTTCACCATGTGCTGTTAGGCTAGTGGTTACCTCGTTGGCCACATGACGGCGATGCCTGGGTTCAATTCCCGCCCGTGACCGACTTTCTGCACTTTG